GCTCTATGTTGTGACTCCTTCCATTATTTCGCTACTGATTTTTCAAGTAGGAAGAGAGAACCATATAGATATGCAGAACCACACTTCTTCGAACTAGGCAGTAATGGCAGTACACAAACAGCTTTACCATATCAATGCTAGAAAAATAATTAAAAATTCAAAGCAAGATTACAAGTTACTGATATGGTAAGAGCACACAGATATAAACTACTGAAAAAAATCTGAATTTACAGTTCATACATCTTCTGTTTGCAACATTGAATCGTGTATACCACCCATAGCAGTGTGTGTTCCAACTCCTACTACAACAGCTCTAGCCCTACCAGCCACGACTACTGTACCCTGAGGATCAAGATGTGCAGGACGTTGATCATTGCTTTGTAACATACAGTAATAGAAAACTTGATCAACCCATTCCCTCAAGTTTATAAAATAGGTAACTGGGCACATAGAAACTGGATCCAGCATATAGCTTCAAGAAACATAAAATTTTACCGAGAAAAGGATATTTGTCTTGTCTTGATATACAACATTTGTTGCAGTAGTGGACTCGAGCTCTTTTCCGACAGAGCAACTCTCACCTGCCATCATCAAACAAAAGTTCTCAAATAAATTGATCCAGCATGCCCTCAATCATTATGAAGTCACAATTACAATACACACAATTTAAAAAGACAATAATTTTTAACAAAAAAAAACAACAATAATGAAAAGTATCCATCAACAAAACAAATATCCATTTGATTTACTATATCCAGTACATAAAGCAGATGTACCTGTAAGAATTGCCTGATCAACACGTAATTGATTACTTAGCATCTCAATCATTCTCATATCAGCTGGAATTTTGCCTCCCACTATACATTTGACCCAACCCAAAAGAAAAATCAAATCCAAGAGTAACCACAATATTAAACCAATTTTGCATGCTCAAAGCTACTTACCAGCCACTTCTACAATATCACCTGGGACAAGCTCTGTTGCTGGAAGTATGGAGAAGCAACCTGCAAGGAGTTACTTTTATGTCAACTTTTGAGTGGTAAAGGATGACACAATTTTATCAAGCAATTTGATATGATGCTCGTAAGATTTTGTTGGTCAACCACTACTCCCAAAAGCTTAGGTTGTCCTTAGTTAGCAATTATATCCCTTTTTCAAGCAAAATTAACAATGTTCCCTCAATTTCTCTTTTCCCAAGATCCATCCAAGGAGTCACATTTAATCACAAAAGCAAAGCATCCAAAAAGAATCAACAATAATAAATATGTTTCACTATCTCACAGTCCTTCACAGACAGCTCAGCAGTGTGACTAGCCATGAAGGTCTCTTTTTTTTCAAACAAAGCTAGCTATATCACAAGCATAAGATCACACTGATGAGATCTCAACCAGCACCGTCATAATAAAAGGGTGTACTACCTTACACTTCTTATGGTCTGATTTTTACAAATTAAGCTAGAAAGAAAACCTTATACAAAGAGGACTTAGAAACATGAAATTAAAACATCATAGTGCAAACAGCATTTAGCCTGGTCAAGTCACTTCCTAAATTAATTTTTTACCATTTCGCAGCACAGTTGCGATATCAGCTTGGTATGCACGTAGCTCCTACAATATCAAGGGTAAAAATAAGGAATCAGAACAAGTCGAAGCTGTAAGGACTAATTTAAGAATTTCCAGAATGAAAAGTAGGTTACCTAGGACTTCATGTATTAATCTTCTACAACGTGCAACAGAAAATAAAGACAAGCATTGTAAGAGGTAGACACGGGTACATGGGAAAGGGTGAGGATAAGTAGATTAACTCAAGTGTTAATGGCCAATCAACAAATTGAACATAACTTCAAGTTTTAGTAGAGAATGAACCTATAGAAAAAGGAAGCACGGTTCCCACATCCACTGAATTGGTAGTCTTTCAAGATGTTTTCTGATATTTATGCAAGTTCTGAAAGGCTATAAATATAAAAGTTACCTCAAGAGCCTTTTCTGCGTTTGTTTCTGTAATCACTCCTACTGCAGCATTTGCAGCCAATATCAAGAGAATAACCTGTGCCCCAATAATTTCAAGACAATAGAATCTTTATTGACACCAAGTTGTATGCCGCATGCTTAATCAGCAACAGACGTAGAAAAGAGTTATAGTGAATCATAACATTCAAAGCCTTACTTGGAAAGTTTCAAGAGCAACAAATTTTGAGCAAGATATATTTCAATACTTGAACAAAAAGACATGCATCAAAGACTTAATAGTCGAAAAAAAAAATCAGAGAGAATAGCTGAGTGCAAATCAAACACGAAGGAATAGGAATCACATCCAGACATTGAAAGTAAAAATACGAAGACAAAGAAAGCACAAAGACATGCATCTAGGCATCAATAACTAAACTAACAATCTTTTTTAGCCAGTCTAAAATAACAGTTTAACATGCATAGCATCTTTCCTTCTTTATTTTTCAGGGGAACAAAAATTGTATTAAGGAAGAACATGCATACTATCTTTTTTCTTTTTTGGCTAGTAGATTACTCCTGAAAGGTGAATTCAACCCATGCTTTGAAAAATAATAAATAACAATAGTAATAAGCAATCAGTTTAGCAAAGCAGAAAAATATCACATCTTACAGAAGGCTCCAAAAAAGCTGTTAATCCCGTATCTCCATTAATCAAAGCCAGAACAAAAGAAACAAGCGCCGCAACAATCAAGATCTTTACAAGCAAATCATCAAACTGCTTCAAAACCAATTTCCAGAATGAAGCCCCTGCATATGAAATATAGATAGCTTTCATAACAGGCATGAAAATCACATTCTTGATATAGATAGATCCATACCAGTAGCATACTCCTAAAAAAATGAATTCGAGTAAACAAATTTATATTTAGACTCCCTAAAATTCTTCATTCTCACCAACCTCACCAAAACCAGCCACCTCCTCTAAAGGGATCATGACTGTGGTTTTCTACACTTTGTGAAATTGGGAGTATTAACAAATTATTGGCAGTACACAAGCCATTGGCCGCTAAAAGTCACATTCAAATAATGGTCTATAAGTACAACAACGAGAAAAACTAAGGGCTCGTTTGGATGTGCTTTTTAAATGACTGAAAGCACTTTTAGAGAAAATGTTTTTCAAAAGCACTTTAAGTGCTTTCTACAAGAAGCACCAGTTATGTGCTTCTTCCAGGAAGCACTTTAAGTGCTTTTCCAGGATTTATTAGCATTTTTACTAAGGATTGTTTCCAAAAATATTTTCACCAAAAACGCTTTCAGTCATTTTAAAAGCACATCCAAACGAGCTCTAATTTCAGGTGGAACTCGTGCTTCATTTAGTACAGGAAAGAGTAGGGGGATTTGAGAAGACATAAACAAAAATGTACTCGTGCAATCAATGAAAAAAACATCACGTTAACTTGCTTATGCGAGATGGATAGAGTAGGGGGAAAGGAAGTGGTTTACTTACTTTTCTCTTCCGGAAGCACTGCATACCATATTCCAAGCATGCACCAAAGAAGAAACCACATTAGAACTTGACAAATAATACCAAAACCAGCACTCTAGTCTGGAGGACAAAACAACCGAATTGGTGAACGAATACGCACACGCGCTGGGAGCAGAGAAAACATACCATTTTTGCCGTAGAGTCTTGCATGTTGCGCAACCTGCGAACAACGTAACAATTCAAACCTCAAGAGCATATAAAACTAACTCGAAAACTGAATTAGAACTAAATAACCAATAAAACAGAACAAATTTCACACCTTTCGCTCTGAAAGAAACAAACTTTGCAATACCTGTGAGTCATTGAGGCCCTTCTTCGGGTCCACGCCGAAGAAATCCAACACCTAACCAATAATACAAGGGCAAAACAATGTAGTAGTGAATTAATCAATCACTGGAACCGAAAAACGCCACATCCCCATGGAAATGCTGCAACAGAAGCTTCCAATTTCCAATGAATTCAATTCTTCCACCTCAAGATTCAAATTCTTTCATCTAAAAACACACGCACACACAGGAATTTGGAAGCTGGTAAAACCGATGGATTACTGGATTGCTGAATTACTGAATTACCTCGGTGACGGATCGAGCGTAAGCGTCTTCCATTGAAGGACGACGAAGAGCTTGGATTGGATCGGAGCCTTTGGAACCTGTTCTTCTTCAACTCTGTTTTAGTACCAGTCCACTGCAAGTAACGGGTGAGATCTGAACAGAAAGGGGAAATTTTGGAGCGAGACGTTATGTTTAAGCAACGTCGTCGTTTTGGGTTGTGGCCTTTACGTTTCGTAATTCGTAAAGTAAAGGCTTTTGATTGGGCCGACTTTCGGATCTGGATCTTGGCCCATATGAAATAAATGGTGATTATCAAGTGGATTGACCCCTTTGGTGGAGAGTAAAATTATTTTTGTTGATCTTTTAGTTGGATTTTTTTTTTTTTTTGGGTTAGGGATCTCATTTTTCGAAACCGTATAATCTCAAAGTTTTGGTGTTTTATGACTAACTAGGTTTGAATATTATTGACGAACGATTGGATGAAATTTGATATGCAAAGTTATTAAGGTTTTACGTAATTGGATTTGTTGGGTTTAAATATTCGATTAGGAGACTAGGTTTTGCAAATGGACGACATGACTGAAACCTTCTTCTCTCTTTTTATTTTTGTTTTATTGTTCAAGTATCATTTTATTGTCATGCACCAAGAATTACTCAAAATGAGGACATTAGGAAAATAGCACGTTCTTAGATTCGATTTTTACTAAAGACGAATTTGAACCACATTATTACTAGTCCATTATGAGGTTTCGACGTGCGGTCCATAAGTTGACATATGTAAAGCGGTAGGCCGTTGCTTTCAAATCTCCAAAATCCACGTTTTTTAACACCGTGGACCGATCCTCAATGGGCCTTTTTTTTTTGGTCAATTCAATGGGCCTTTTAGATATGCCTCTAATTTGACCTATAAATACACACTCCACGATCAAAACCGGTCCGACCCGGTTCACACGACCCAACAACAAGACCTATCGTCCAACCCGCGCCGCGCTTAAACCCTCGAACAAAAACCTAACTTCATTCCGGCTTCTTCGTCTTCTTTCTCCTCTCTTTCTCTCTCTGATGCTCTCGCACCTCCATTACACTCCCTTCACTCTCGGAGTCACTCGCGGAAACACCAAACCCTAACCCTAATCGTTTGCGGGGGCGCTTTCCGGGACTCAGAGCCTCAGACGAACATGTCTGAAGCTTACAGGGCCAGTTCAGTCGATTGGAAGCCCTCTCCCTTGGTTGCCCTAGCCACCAGCGTCGACGACTCCCAAGTCGCCGCTGCTCGCCAGGACGGCTCCCTCGAGATTTGGCTCGTCTCCCCCGGCTCCGTCGGCTGGCACTGTCAGCTGGTACGGTCACAACCACGAACTCTCTTTCTATATACACATATATGTTTACGTATAGCCTTTGGAATTGATAATCATCAGTAATTGATAGCTTACTTTAATTTAAAGTTGAAATATCAATGTTTTGTTTTGTTTTTGTGCTTAAGACGATTCATGGTGATCCTGAATCTCGAGTCTCGTCGCTTATTTGGTGTCGTCCTGGCTCGAAAGGGTTGCCTTGTGGACGGTTGTTCTCGTCGAGCATCAATGGTTCGGTTTCGCAGTGGGATCTTTTCCATTTGAAGCAGAAGGTATGCTTTTCTGTTTGTAATGAAGCTAAATTGAGCATTTCCATTGTTTAACTTGTAAGCCAAATTTTATGCAAACAATTGATGAGCATGTGTAATTACTCATACTTTCGTAATTCTTAATTTTTAGTTCTCGAAGCATTTATTGTGATGAAGCATCAGATGCTTTAACTAAATTTTGTTTTTCATTCGTAGACCGTGTTGGATTCTATTGGGGTCTCAATCTGGCAAATGGCTGTTGCACCGTGTACTAATGAAACTGAACCTAAGGACTACCCTATTGGAAATGGGTTTCTTAAAGCTAATAGTACTGAGGGGGATGATAGCGAAGATGATTCCAATTCAGCTGAGATTAATGAGCAATCAGTTGTTGAGAACCAGTGTGTGGCATTAGCTTGTGATGATGGCTGTGTGCGGATATACACCATTACCAACACAGATGAGTTTGTATACACTAAATCATTGCCTAGGGTCAGTGGTGAGATATCTACCCTCTTTGTTATTCTAGCTCTTGGAGTTTTGTTTTGCTTCCTTATTTTTCTCTTTCATAAGTTTCAATTTTGATGTTTTTGTGATGTTCTATATTTCAGGACGTGTCTTGAGTGTGACATGGAGTCCTGATGCTAAATTTATATATTCGGGGAGTAGTGATGGGTATGTTTGAACATTTACAGCAACTGTACTTGTTGTGAACTTCTATGAGTTATTACGAGTTATACTAGTGTCATTTCTATGCATTTGATGATTTTTTTTTCGTTGGGCAGGATTATAAGATGCTGGGATGCTAAATTGGGCCATGAAATTTATAGGATTACGGTTGGGCTTGGAGGTTTGGGTAGTGGACCTGAACTTTGCGTTTGGTCGTTACTTTCTCTGAGGTAAAAATGAGGCACATATTTATTATTTTCTGCTGCTCCAAATTGATTTTTCAGTTTGTCGCATCTATTGGTGTTTATTAGCTGCTGAACTACCTTTTTGAAAATCAAGTTCTTTCTTTACACCAGGTGTGGGAACCTTGTAAGTGCAGACAGTACTGGCAGTGTTCAGTTTTGGGACAGTCAGCATGGAACTCTATTGCAGGCACATTCGAACCACAAAGGTGATGTAAATGCTCTGGCAGCAGCTCCCAGCCATAATAGGGTGTTTTCTGCTGGTTCCGATGGTCAGGTACATGATTCATCTTGGAGAGAAAAATCGTTGGTAGTTCTGGATTGTTATTCTGTTAATTGTTTTAGGAAATAAGAATTTGATATCTGTCTCCAGAATATGAGGAAATTTTAACTCACTTCAGTTGTAGCAACAGACTAATAGTTTAGCATAACAATAAACAATACACCAGGACATAACCAGCCAGTGCATTATTTTTATAATGCATTCATTTCTTGTTCTTTTGCTGTGCATTATGTGGACCCTGTATCTTATGCTGCATACAGTTCCGTTAGAATGTTTTATGCCATAATTGGATATTGTCCATTCATCTCTTATTGTATTGAAGTGAAATACTTGGCGGTGGTTATTAACTAATGAGTAGGTAACAAGAACAGTTTATTATTTTCTCTAGCATCTTGAACTAATTGAATAAATTGGAGGGAAATTAGGGACATCAAATTTACTTATGAAATGATAGGTATATATTCCTGCTAATAATTCTTTATATTTGAAATTCACTTTTTTTCTATGGTTTTGAATTTGCTATTTTTATCAAGGAGCATGCACTTGTTGAACTTGCTGATCGGCTACCATAATCTCAAATGGTCCAATATCTTCTTTTGGCAGGTTATTCTTTATAAGCTCTCTAGTGCGACAGTGGGATCTAGTGATGACAAGTCTTCTTCTGAGGTGACAAAGAAATGGATCTATGTTGGTCTTGTAAAAGCTCATACACATGATGTTAGGGCTTTGACAGTGGCTGTACCGATCAGCAGAGAAGGTTTGCCCATATATTATGATTGATTTAATATTTTTCCTTGTTTTTGCTGTTATTTAATCTTTCCATTTTCACACATAAAAAGATTCATCAGTTTATGCTTGTTTGTGTTCAAATGGATCTATGTTTATTTACGCCCCTTGTTACGTCTTAACTATTTTCCAATTCTTAAATTGAGTCATTCTCTAATTTGCAGATCCCTTGCCAGATGAAGGTATAAAAATACACCGTAAAGAACGTCGTAAGATAACGCCTAATAATATTAATGAGTTCAGTTATCGTAAATGGGCACACTTGGGTGTTCCCATGCTTATCTCTGCTGGTGATGACACAAAGCTAATCGCTTATCCTGTTAAGGAGTTCACACAGTTTAAACCCCATGATATCTGCCCTGCGCCTCAAAGACTACCAATTCAACTGGTGCTTAATAGAACATCCAAAGAATCATTGCTTCTTGTACAAGCTTCTAGTTGGGTGGATATCCTGCTTGTACGTACACAAAGTGGCACCTTTTCTAAGATGGCTCCTGTCTCCAAATGGGGCCAAGCCTCAACAGATCTTTTGGTTCGAGTCAAGAGTAAGGCATCTCGGAAGATCATTTGCAGCGCAATTTCTAATACGGGGGTGCTTTTTGCTTATTCTGACCATGTGAAACCTAGCCTATATGAATTGAAGAAGAATAAAGTTGGCAAAAGTGCACTGACTGTTAATAAAAGACAACTTCCACAGAAACTACCATTTGCCCATTCCATGGTTTTTAGTTCTGATTCTTCTCGCTTAATGATAGCAGGGCATGATAGAAGAATATATGTAAGCTGTCTCCTTCTTGTTGCTCTATTTTATCTATTGTTAATTTGTTACAAAGAAAAAAACTTTTTGGGGTTTGACTTATGTTATTTTAGAAGGTTCCGCATGCATTTCTTCAGCCCTTGATTTGGCAATAACTTTGTGGATAATCATACTTTCTCACTCACACAGATAGGTTACCTTTTTGAAATTAGTTCTTGATAATCCTACTTTCGCTTCTAAAAAAGGTACTCTGTTTTTAGGGAGTCTTAATGCTTGTGCCTTTGAAGCAAATTCATCAGGCCGTTTAGCTACTTAGGTGAGGCTAAAAGCAATGCTAAAGAGCTTGATCATTCTGACTCTTTGAGACATGATTGGACAGTTTAACCTGTAAAAAACATTGATTAGATAGTGGCAAAACCTGTGTATTCGTTAATGTTATATGGCTTCCATTTCTTGACTTACCTCTTATGCTGTAGGTTGTGGATGTGAGCAGAGAAGAACTAGTGCACAGGTTCACCCCTTGTCGTGATTTGCAGGATCAAGAATTACCACCTAGTGAGCCTCCCATAACAAAACTGTTCACCAGTTCTGATGGGCAGTGGCTGGCTGCCATCAATTGCTTTGGAGATATTTATGTATTTAATCTCGAGGTACAAAGGTATGAAACTATACTAGATGTATCTTTTGCTGGCCGGTACCTAACATTGATAATAGTTTTCGTTTTGATATTTTACTAGGACCCGGACCAATTTTCTATCCTAACTCTTTGTTTATATTGTTAAAACAGGCAGCACTGGTTCATTTCAAGACTAAATGGTGCCTCTGTGACAGCTGGCGGTTTTTCCCCGCGAAACAACAATGTGCTTTTAATTACAACCTCTTCAAATCATGTATATGCGTTGGATGTTGAGGAGAGAGAACTGGGAAACTGGTCGAGGCAGCATACATATTGTCTGCCGAAGAAATTCCAAGAATTTCCAGGCGAAGTTATCGGGCTCTCTTTCCCACCCTCCACAAGTTCATCTTCTGTTATCGTTTACAGTGCCAGGTGCGCTCCTTTTTCCTTGTGTCTGGATGAGGTGTGATTTGTGCGTATGTTATAGAGCTCAAAACCTTGGAAGTTGCTAAATGTGAAACAAAAGTAAAATGAGAATCCCTTGTCATTAGATTTGATGTTGCCAGGGTATTACAACAAACGGCAGTTTTCATTCCCGCAATTCAATTCTGAAGTTTCATGTAGGAATAGTGCAGCTTAAAGTAGATTTGGGGGATATCCGTGTTTATGTGTTATAACTAATTTCAGGGTTTTCTTATACTTTAGGGCAATGTGCTGGATTGATTTCGGGAAGCCCATTGATCCAGATGATGAAAGTAGTGGCATGCCAAACAGTCAGAATCCGTCATCGTTGAATTTGCAAAGTAGTAATTCCATTAAGAAGATTCTAAAACGTAAATTGACAGACAGTGAAACGGAGAGTAGACTTACGGCTATGAAGAATTTTGATTTTATTTGGTTCCCAAGTCCGGCTTTATTTTTAGGTCATCTTTCGAATAGTTCTCTGTTGATGATAGACAAACCGTGGATGGAAGTGGTTAAATCTTTGGATTCTGCACCCGTACACAAGTATGTTTACGGGACATAATGTCATGGAGGGTTTAGCCTTCGAGAGAGAGTGAGAGAGAGATCAAATGTGGCAATCGATCTCTTTTACACGTTGCCATCGTGTATTTTTTTCTCTTTGGTTACGGAGGGCTAAAGCGTGTTGTGTAATTGTACTCATCAAAATTTTGTTCTTGTTAACCAGTTTAATGAAGTTTGTCTTACAATTCTTTTAGATTCCTGCATTTTATGTGTACGTCCGTTGATTCCTTGTAGGCTTGTTAACAGTATGATTCCCTATCTAACAGTGAGATGTTGATGCTATACGAAATTTGGCTTTCCGGCCGAGTTTGGATTTCTGAGTTTTACCGTTCTGGCGAGGTCCATTTATGTAAATGTTGAGATTAGATGTCAATATTTGCTCTGTATGTTATATGGGGCAGGGAATAGTTCAATTTTGCTCTCCAATTCCATCGAGCTCAAAGGAGATCTTCCAACCTCTTTGACAATGAGAAAAAGAAAAATAACATAAGCTGTTTTTCTGTGGCGATTGGTGAGGCTACGTCGGCAAAGTTTGGTTTTTCCGGCGAAGTTGTTTGGTTGGTGTTTCCGGTGAAGTTGTGCGGTTCAGATCGCCTGTTACGGGAACCCGAAACAATGGGGATGGGACCTGAAGGAGGGGGTGGGTGGAGTGCTTTGTGTTGGTCGGACAGCCACGCCACCAATCGTCCCTACCCAAGAATTTCTGTAGTTGGAATTTAATGAGGCTTTATGCCACCTTGAGAGTACAATCAGAAATTTAGGACAGGGAATCCAACATTTCCGCCGGTCTCATATCTTGACATTGGTGTTAACAAGGGAATGTTATCAGCCTTCTTATTTGGATCTTTTCGAGTTCTCGACTCTTTTTTTATTTTATAATGTTGCACGATGAATGAAAGTGTCTATTTTGTAGTTTACCTTTAAAAATCAACTATGTGAATGTATAAGAAAATAAAAACGTTAAACCATTCAATTAATGTTGTTAAAATTAATGTTTGATTGAATAATATAGTTCATCTATTTATTTATTTTTATTTTAGTTCATCTATTTATTATACAGCTGTTAGATAATTAAATGATTTCGGATATGGTGGAATTTTTTACAAAGTTAATCTTTAAATAGTGAACTAGAAAATAAAAGCTTTAAATCATTATATAACATACTAGGATAAAAAATAGAATAAAAGAATCGTTTTTCCAATAAAAATTAAAAAGAAATGTTAATGAGATTCTTAAAAGTGAGACTCTATATGGACTTTTTATCACCTTATATCTTTGGCACAATATTTTATAATGTTGGCATATGAATTAACGTCAAAATGTGAGACGATTTATGAAGAATCTCACTTTAAAAGGATCTCCTCAGCATTTCTCCAGATTTTAAAAGATCAAAGTTCCTTTCCAAGATATGGAATGCTAAATTTGAGGATGGCAACCTTTCAATAAAATCATAATCAAGGGAAATCTCATCTGCCAAAACAAATTCAATAATTGCACCAATATTATTGAATGAATATCACATGCTTAGTGGGAGCTATCAAAGTGTGGTGGGCTGCCTCTTTTGGTTGAAAATGGAGCTTACCATCTGGTTCCATTTCATCAAGAAATTGTCTTTTTTCTTAAATTATTGTTGGCTTTGATATGGCATTGCCAAATTTACTAGAGAATCTCTCATGCATCAAAGGAACCGCATAACTATGGCCCTCGTTTATTTTTTTTCTTTTTTCTCTCTCCTTGTAACTTTTGCCAATCTTAAACAAAAAAAAGATTAATAAAATTACACATTGGATGTACGAGAGATTCTCTCCAAATTAACCCACCTAAAAGTTGTAGTGAGCTAGGCTGGCAAGCTGGAGAAGAATAATAAAGTTGAATCATTTATTGCTCCTTTGGCCTTGGAATGGTCATCTCATCTCATCTCGTCTCAATTCATCTCGTCTCATCTGTTTATAAATGGGATGCAGCATCACTTTGCTCTAGAGTGGACCACAACTCTTTCTATGATTAGCTTTGTTTCCTCCACCCTTGCTTAACCTAAAACTATGTGATTATTGAAAAGCAAACACTTCATAGGTCACTTATTCCTAATTTATGTACTTTTCTAACACATCGGTTCCTTTTAAAAACATTGGTCGACGCTTTAATAATTAACGAGTTATTTCTCCTTATTTACAAATTACACTTTATTCCTAGGTTGATACACATACTGAAGCGACCTACATGCAAAGATCAAGTATTTTCCATTCCTTAATAAGTACTTCGTTATCTAATCTTGGAGGCAACTGAACTTAATGCATCTGGGAGTCTACATCTATTGGGAAATTTTCCTTTTCTTCAAGCTATCACCTTATTCGACAAAAACATAAAAATTGTGCTTGTGCTAATTTTATTTAGCGATGCTTTCTTCCGCCTCAGCAATCTATTTTGGCTTGGGGGGCCTTTTCATGATAAACTTCCTACCAAGGGTGTACTTCAACGGCGTGGTATTTCTTTGGCGTCCATTTGTTGTTTATGTCATAATTTTGAAGAATCTACTACGCATTTTTTTCGGCAGTCAGATATCTAGACAACTTTGGAGGTGGTTAGCATGTCAATTTGGTACCTCTTTGCTTTTTCATATTCTCTTGCTGGTTTTGGTATGCTTATGTGCATAAGCCTGTTTCGAACAACTGCACATTCTCTTGGTTTTTGCGGGTCTTTCTTCGACTATTTGCAAAACTCGATTTAAGTTTATTTTTTAGGATCACCTAATATATTTTCATCATCTTTGCATGCCTTTCAATTATGGGATTGTTCATGGTGAGAATTTTATTCCTGGTTTTACTCTCAGGGTTTTGACACTTCTATCAATTCTCTGGGGATCAGACCTATCCCTCACAAAGCGCCTATTATTTTTCATGTGCTTTGGTATCATCCTTGGTTTCTTAGGATTAAACGTAATAGATGGTAATCTTAGTCCTATTGCTTGTTGAGGAGTTTTCAGGGATTTCCATGGTCAACTTCTTGGTGGTTTTTGCCCAGGGATTAGTTATCGCAACTCTTTCTTTACAGAATTATCAGCAATTATTATTGGTGTAGAGATTGCATATCAGTGGTGTTGGCATTATCTTTGGTTGGAAAGTGAATTTTCTAGTGTTATTTCTGCTCTCCAATCGACTGATTTTGATTCCACTGACTAAGTATAACTTCTTTTTTGTTATCAATAAAATTCCACTTATACCGTCGAGATTTTTTGAAGAAAAAAAAAAAGGAATACGTGGGAGAAATGAGAGATCAAAGGCCGAAAATTTAATAATATTTTTTGTGTTCCTTAGGTTGTTTCCTACAGCGTTGACAAGAAGAAATAAAATGGAATTGATTGGAAAAAAGGTAGCAAAAAAAGCAAGGAACAAGATCCCATGGGATCTAATTGCCTTCTATCTTTTACATTGTTTGTTTCCCAATCTCTTATCTCCACAACTGCAGCAGATGAAATGAGATACTTCATTCCTGTCATCGCCTTATATATCACTCCCAACTTCCTCCTTGGAAATCACCTGCGCTTATTGATAACCATTTCATTTTTAGTTTATATTTTTTTTTGTTAGAGATATAAGAGAAATATGCAAGAGAAGCGAGAGACAAAGAAGAGTGGAGTAATTCGGAAGAAATGATCGGTTTTCAGTTTTACCTGGTTTTTGTGAAGCTGGACTTTTGGCTAGAGATGACTTGAAGAAACCAAAGTGCTGCAGCAATGCAGATTTTCCCTGTAAGAAATCAGAATTTGCAGCACGTTCTTGAGAGAACAGAAGTAGCTAAAAAAACCAAAAAACCCGAATTAGGAAAGAACAAAAGAAAGAACCTTTATATGTGTTGCAGAAAAACCCTCAGAGTAATCCAATACATTCTGCATTGAAGATTCATCCTTTGGGAAATTAGCACTCAACTTCTTCTGTAAAATAAGAACACGTTCATGTAAATACATGGACCCGAAAAACAAAGATATACATTTGTGAAATATGTTTCTATGATATTTTTTTTGCCTTGGAGTAGTTGAGGACTGGGGAGCTAGCAGTGTCATCAAGGTGTTGTTCTCGGCTGCCACTTCCTTTGCTTTTCTTCTTGCCCTTCTTTCCCAACTTGGAACCCCACGAAACCGAAAAGGAAGACCTGTTTTCGTACACGCAGTCTTCATCAAATTCGTGGTAATGTGGAGGTCCAGAAGAAGCATCAGACACCATCGACAGATCTTCTTCTTCTTTTGTCTCCACATAATCAGCAAAACCCCCAGGTTTTTGGAACTGACTTTGAGAAAGATAGGAGGACTCATCTAAGTAACTTGTCCATCCAGATTCACACCCACTATTGCATTGTGATGGTGATATATTCATCTCCACTCTCCTCGACCCGAAACGGACTTTCACACTTAACTTCGAGCCGCTATTTCTAACAGAGTGTTGTTACTAGGGCTCCAAAAAACGAAGAAAGTGTGTATTTTGCAGTAGTGCAATTAGCTGCTGCTCTGGCAATACCCCTTTCTTTCTTTTCTTTTTCTCAATGTTATTGTTGTTGTGGTTGTCTATATAAATACAAGTTAGAGGGAGGGAGGAAATAAACCAAACAAATATTCAAATCCTATGCCACATTTGTCCTTTGCTCTATCTTTTGGCCTTGTTATTTTATCTCTTTGTGGATGAATCAAATATGCCAGTTGGCTGTGTGGTGGTGGTGGGGTGGTGGTCGTGGTGTGGGAGGTGGGGTGGGGTTGAGGGGGAGGAAGAGAGGAAACAATGGCAATTGGTAAATTGTTGTGAGAAGGGAAGTGGTTATAATTTTGTGTGCAATTTTAGCAATAAACAGCTTGTTTCCACTTTTTGATCAAAAGAGAGAAGAGATCCATAACATTTGTCTCACTATTTACCTTTTTTTTTTTGCTTTTTTCCCCCTTATCCTATAAGCCTAAACCTTCCTTCCCAACCACTACTCTATGAAGGTGAAGTGTCGAACAAATAGTTAAAGTAAAATTAGATAGTGGCCACCAAGATTTTGAAAGACGTTAAGCACTAGTCAGTTGGCGGGTTGGGGTCTAACGTTTAAGTAGCTAAGTGTGGCTTATGCAGATTTAGATAAGTTTTTTATATAATCATATAACTAAGTACTTACTTATACTTAAAAAATATATAATTACATTGAGATACATAAATTGTAAAATATAATGACCTATAAATTATAAAGTATTAGAATATAATTAAAGCATGGAGAACAAGCAGATATGTGTGTTCATCTAAGTATTCAACAAGTCTCTTAATTACAATTTATTAAAAAAATAAAAAGCAAATGAAAGTTATCTATTACTATAAGAGTAGTGACCTAGGCGGGTGCCTAGTCGAGTCTAGGATGGCTAGGCGGGCGCCTACGTAGATTTAGACGCCCTTTCTTAATTTTCAAACGTCTAGGGATTAATCAGAGCAGTAATTAGCCGTCTAGTGCCTAGACAGCACTAGAGGAGGATTTTTAGAATAAGTGGTCATCACTTACTTTTGTATATAATATTTCATAATTTTTACCATGTTTGGTGGTGTTGTAAGATTGAATCAAATTGGATAACTCACAATTTTTATCCAAGACTCCGAGGGCTTGTTTAGTGTTCATAATTTGCTTGAAATGGGTAACTTATAAGCTTCGAGGTGTGTTGAAGTAAGCATAAAAAGGTGATTTTCACACATTGAGGAAAAATGTACGATAAAATCCTTCTCAAGACATAAATGTAGAGGAGAGTATTTTTTTTTATTTTGGAGGGAATAGAGGGGATAAATTATAGAGAAATGCTAAGAAAATTCTCAAAGTGGAACTCTCTATCATTTCTTTAAATTATAAGATGTTATATTCAATCATTTTGTTGGGATTAGAAGTTTTTGTCATGAAGAATTCATTTTAAACTCTTAAATTGGACAAAATTTATTCATTTCTTTTTTCAAAATAGCTTGAATATATTGAATTATCCAACTCACTTCAATCTTAGACGTTAAACGAGCCCAAACTTCTATTAATCTTTTGCATGACAAACCAACATTGGGAAATATTGAAGAGGAGTGAAAAAAAAACATATATATTTTCACGAACGATAATTTTAATGGGTTAAATTGTTGAATGCTAGGGGTGAGAAGGATTGAAGGGAATCACACCCGTACCAAGATGCATAAGTATTATTACTTTATGTCATTACGGTAAAATATATAACTTGTCCCTGGATGGTTTTTGCTTGAGAATCTAGTAAAGAGAGGAAATTGAAATTAAAAAATTTCTTGACCCCATGTTGGTTTAGAGGTCACTTAAATCAGGCAACAATTTTCTTTTTATGTATATATAACAAAAGTATCCTTGACTCTTTTGGTTTTTGACGTACATTTCATTTCATTTGATTTGACTCTTTTGGTGCTTGACACTAATTCTCCATGATTTAATAAAATAATTTTGGAAAAGCCCAAATAATTAATCAATTTGGGAAGAAATAGAGGCAGATTATCTACCCTCCTGTTTGAGTGTCCTTTTCATCCCTTTCTATTTTGTGCTGTCACGGTTAAGCCACGTCAACATTTTATATTGATTTTTTTATAAAGATAATAAGATAAAAATCAATAGAAATATAAAATGTTAACGTGGCTTAACCGTGACCGCACAAATAGAAGAGGATGGAAATGGCACCCAAATAGGAGGGCAGACAATCTGCCTCCAGAAACAGAAGTGAATATTTGCTAGAAAATCTTGTTGAATATACATCCAATAATATGTATTTAATATGTATCTTGTTGAATGAGGATCCTCTTCAGATTTTTTTTGCGGATCTCGAAATCTGTGTATAGTGTATGTTCATCGTACATCATGTGGTTAAAAATCATTTTAAATTCTTTTATTTAAAATTGAATACAAACAGTACCTGACAAAAAATGACCGCACGATATACGGTGAACGGACACAATTCATGAATTCTTGAAATTCTCACAAAGAGGATCCAGATTCTATCTTGTTGGGCCCTGCTGATGTGTAATAATGCCCATTGGCCAACACATTTTCTGGTTTCAAAATAATGTAAGAACAAAACAAAAAAATCAATAATATGTCACACATATGTCACCGGTTTTTCCTTTTTTAAAAACAATAATATGTCACACATATTTGTACTGAATCTTCCAATATTTCCACCCTTAGATTAATTTTAGTTCAGAGATCATCATTTTCTGAATGTCTGTTTTTCTGCTGTGAAAATTCGAAATGTGTGTTTTGACCCAAGTTAGGAGGTTTTCGAAACTCTACAATTCTCGCCTTTTTTTATGTGACAAGTCTCAAAATTATAAACAAATGATCGAATAATAAATGAGAAGTTCTTGTGTTCACCTGCCGCAAATGACATTGCACTCGACTAGGTATGCCCAGTGTGAGGTTGGTTTGAGTTAAACAAAGAAGGTTTTTATTTTATGCATAAAATCGTATAGGTGGGCTGGTATAGATAATCAGACATTAAAATTTCTAATTTTTATGATCGAATAAAGGGTTGAACATCAAAAAGAAGTTTGCCAACACTCATTAAATGGGTTTATGTGAAGTTACAGTTCATCTATGATGGAAAATCAAAAGTGGTGATCAATGTGACATGAATCAATGACCATGAAATGTGACTATTTAGAAGGATCCAAATTTCAGATGAGCACATGCCCTTTTCACTGCTTGCAGACCGACCTTAATTTATCCTCCACAATTTTTGTACGAAAACAGAGTCTATGATCAATTGGGTTTTTGGCCTTTTTCCCATCCTAGTTTTATAGGGGCCTTCAGTTTCCTCCTTAAAAATTTCCATGTGCTTGTTGAATATAATTCGGGTGATGAGGTCTGATAAAAGAGTTGTGTTTGTCGTATTTATATCTTTTTTGTGTCTTTTTTCTTTTAATGAGTCGTGTCGTATCAAACATGTTATCTTAACGGGTTCTTAACAGGTGATCCAATAACAATATCTTATTGAGTCTTTAACAGAGACTCGATAACAGCCCAAAACATCAACAGATTCTTAATGGATTACCCGATAACGATCCGCTTCGTTAACATTTTGACATGAAACCAGTTGTTTTCGTACCATGTCGGATTAATTGGTCGTTTAACAAATTATCAGGCATGTATATCATGCTACTTTTTACTACTTTACTAGGTGAGAATAGGATTGATATGCCATAAATTTCATTATTTTCTTAAAAAATAGAATTTATTATATTAATTCATGATTTGTCTTCTATTAGAAAAATGGATATGCTAATCTACCAGAAAATCACTTAGAATCCTAATTGAATACCCTTAGAATCATTTGAATTAAAATCCTTCAAAATCTCAATAGTATACACCCCCTACATGTACGATATATGGTAGTCAATGTTTGAGTTCCAACAACATGCACTGGACGCTGAAGAGTAGGTTTAGCCCCAACGAGCGACAATGGAGATTCAAGCCAACCACTAAGCGAGAAACTCAAATGTTTTACCCACTGAACGAAATGGGGGAGTAACTCAACTAGTCTTGCAAAGTTTTTGAACATTGCAAAGGGTCCCGGAACATGTTCTTGGCACTAAAGAGTAGGTTTAGCTTCAACGAGCAGTTATGGAGACTCAAAGCCAACAAATTGAGCGAGACTCAAAAAGTCTTACCCATTGCTCTTGTAAAGTTTCATATCTTTCCGATATGAACAATTGTTCCGTGTACATATCCTCACATGGTTCCCTACAATATATGAAAATGTCAAACAATGCTAGTTGCCAGTTTAGCCATAGCAATAGCCACCCCACGCTGGTATTTTGTATAGATATACGCCACCGACATTACACACACACACACACGCATCATAAATCAAACACTCTGAAGGCTCTCCTTCTCTCCAAAATGAAAGTCAAACCTCCCTCTCTCTTGGATTTTGTCTTTCTGGAGAAGAATGGTTAACAAAACCGCCCATATCTTGGCCTTTTTGACCAAAATCAAAGAGTAGTGAGGAATGATTGTTTTCTCTTTTGATTAAGAGCTTGTTTGAAAGCGTTTAGAAAATGATTAAAAGCGCTTTTAGCGAAAATGTTTTTGAGTTTTAAAAGCATTTGAAGCACCAGTTCTGTGCTTCTTGCAGGAAGCACTTCAAGTGCTTTTTTAGGATTCACTTGCATTTTTACTAAGAATTGATCCTAAAAACATTTTCATCAAAAACGCCTTCAAGCATTTTAAAGCACTTCTAAACGAGCTCTAATTTTTACGTCTCTGCCCCCACTAATTTAATTTGGCTTGTTAATGATAGTGAAAGAAATGATTGGATTTTGGGGATTTTTAGCATCAAATTTGTATTGGCTATTTCTAACTATGGTTGTGGCTCAAGGAAGATCTTGTATTCTAAACGTTGTTGATTAACCTTTTCAAGATCATGTATTAGAGCTCGTTCAGTGCCTAGGACCAGGGTTTAGGGTTTAGTTTGGATTTGATAACTCCTATAATTCAAGGCATGTGTGAAAGGTAGCGGTAAATAATTTTTTATTTTGAGGTTGAATTGGATAACTCATATAATATAAAATATAGTGAGGCAAAGGTGAATGTTTTATTTTGAAGGAATTAGGTATTAGACATGCATAAAACTTGTCCCTTCTAATTCATAGATTTTTGGTCGAGGTCTCCAGATCCATGACTACATATCAAACTTTTAATAGTGTCATAAGTTTGCTAAAGAGTACTCCATCTTTTACGTACCTTCAATCTTACGTACCGAACTAGCACTTGGGTCTTTGTGGCCAGATTATGAATGCAATTTCCATTTGATCCCCAAAATTATAATTTATTTTTTCCTTGATATCTTTTGTGGGGGTTTCAGGGGGGACTATGGACTTGTTTTTGGGCACCAGAAGGGACACACATCACACAGCTCATTGCAAGTTTCAAAGAAATCCCTCTAGCCTTTGCATGTGTGGAAATCTCCATAACTTGATACGATTCGAAACTTCTTTAAATATAAAAATTCAATGTGTTTCACAATTAAACTCACTATAAGGTCATCTCCAACAGAAGGATCCAAAGGACCAGAGGGCCGAAAATAGCCCGAAATCCGTCTCCAACCGAGGGCTAAGCCAGAGGGCTCGTGGCCCCTCACGGAATCTGAAAGGACCAAAGGGCCAACGGCTGACCCAAATATATTCTTGTCGGTTATATCCGACATGAATTCTAGACCAAATTTCAAATGCAACGGCTAGCTGACGTCAGCTAGCCATTATTTTTGAATTTTTTTAAATTTTTTTTACACAATTTTTTTCCTATAACTTCTATTTTTTTCTATAACTTCCTATAACTTCTACTTACAAAATTTGTTTTACATTTTTTCTAAATTATATTTTGTTTCCTATAACTTCTATTTTAGAAAATTTGTTTCATATATTTTTTAAATTCTATTTTTTTCCTATAACTTCATAAGCCATTATAAAACATTAAATTAAATTAAGTAACATGATGACGTCACTTAGTTATTGGATTTGAATTTAAGTTGTAGTTTTTAAATAATAAATTACGTTTGACCCTGGTTGTTTTTTTGTGACAGGGTTAAAATGAGCCCTATGGCCCTTTGGCCTTCGGTTGAAGATAGAGACAAATATGGTTCTGTACTATTTATTAAAATATTAATATCTTGGAGGGCCAGAGGGCTAAAACGAGCCCTTTGGTCAGCCTTCGATTGGAGATGACCTAACATAATCAACACAATTCAACTAATATTATATTAATAAAATGATAACAATTCTCAAATTTTTGAGAAGCACAAGTTAGTAGTCTATTAATTAGACAACACAAATTTAAATGAGGAAATCCGAACACGATCTATTTTCAAAAGAGATTTTTTACATCCCACGTATCATGTGTTACGTTGATAACGGTTACCCCTAGATGGTCCAATCCAAATTTATTCCAGTACTATTACCTGCAACCTCAAAAGAGTAGCACTTCTCCTCAACTAGGTTAAAGTTGCATGTCCTTTTGTATTTATTTCTCTCGTTACAAAATTTGATCCATTTCGTAGTGAGAAAGATGTATGAAGAAGATATACGGGGGTCCAATAACTAACTAGAAATGTTGAAACGTTGTGCTATGGAAGTGTTGTCTTCCAATATGTTATAAACTGCTTATTAACATTATGTCAACAGTGATAACCGAAGATAAATTCACCATAAAGTTATCATTATATATGATAATCAGAAGATATTCTTGCTATCTTAGATCGTATAACCACTTATGTCTATCTCGTCCAAAACTTAATCATGTGATGTGAAATTAAACACAAAAAAATATACGACAAGTTGCCAGACATATTTTCTTAAAACTAGACCTTGACTTGGCTTTCACCAATTTTCAACATGCAAACTAAGAAAAAGGAAAAATAATCCAAAACGAACACGAAAGGGCTAGAAAAGACCTTTCCATACCTAACATATTATCTGGCTCCCAAGTCATCAATCCTGACAACCTTTGCAATTTGCAAGTCCTGCCATCTGATAAATACCACCTCCAGCAAATATTGCGTGTCAAATTGTCGATTGTCTGAAGCTCCTGCCACAAATCATGACATGAAAAACCTTTGACGGGTAAACAAGAAAAAGTTTGGAACGTGTTTCACGTCGCTCAACATTTTGGTCCAATCATGCGTTGTTATATGTAAATTTAATTTTATATATTATTGTATTATTAGATTAGAACGTTACAATGACATTCATTCTGTTATTCATAAGTTGCTCTTGCTAACAAAAAATTGCTACATCAAAAGTATTGAGTCCCAAATTTTGATTACAAAACTGAGCAGTCATTTCAACTGTTATGCTCGATGGACGTCCTAGAGAGAGAATATCCCGATATTTGAATGCATTTTTCACTTCACTTTTATTTCAAGCAGTAGTTTTATGGACTCAAAAGGATGGGAATAACTTATCCAATCTACAGGGCAGTTTATAGAACTCGTTATTCCTAACATCTGAACCTTATAGGACCGAACTTCTCCCACCAATTTAAGCTGCTGTCTTTTCGAGATGCATCATTGTCGTACGACACAGAGGAGTCCAAGATAGGGCAACTAGAGCAGCTACCTTTGTGTGCGACATGAAAACCACATTCACCATGTCATCTAACTGAAAGTAAATGAACCGAAAAAAAATAAATAAGGCGGAAGCTAGTATTGATTGCAACGATACTGCAGGACTGAATCGACAAAATAGAACCGCAGTTACTAAAATTGAATGCGAAAAACAGCACAGTGATCGAAAATGTATTTTCTCACCCGTCTAGGACCGCTTTAAGCATGGTCGGACCTAGGATCATATGGTATTTTCCCATTCTCTTCCCCGATCCAGATATCCTCCCCTTTGCCCAAGAAAGATTGATTGAATTATCAAAAATTTGGAGCGTGATAGTTCAATTAGATTCATTTTTTCGGGAGGGTATACAGATTAATATATTCTTGGAAGTATTGTGGTACTGAAGTTCCCATGAAGAAAGAGAAGCCTAATACGAATTTTGTTCTGAAACACTTGGAAAACAGATGTTTAAGGAAACAAGAGACTTATCAACATAGCCCAATAAGACACACTAAAGAGCTGCGATAATCGGTGTAGGAAGAAGCGAAAAGTGCTCCGATTTTTCCTGGTTCAGAAGAGCATCATCTAAAATGAGAAACATCTAGCATACGAGAGGAACTCCCCTACAACATGTTGTATGAAACATGGTCTTCGTCTCTCTCATCGTATGACAATCATCGTGTTTACCACCATTACCACCATCATTATTGTTGTTATTGTTACTATAGCAGCCACTACCACCACCATTATTGTTATTGTTGTTGCCATCGCCACCAACCACAATTATTATTGTTGGTGTTGCCATACAACGGTCACCACCATTATTGTTGTTTACACCACCACTGTTTTTGTTATCATTACCACCACCCCCACCTTTGTCATTGTCATTGTTACCGCCACCGTTCTAGGCCATTTGTTTTGCTAGTTTTTTGTAGTAGTAGGTATAAAATGACAGCAATCAAATGTCAATCCTCGGGTTTTATTTGTAAAGTTTTTATTCCTTGGTAATCAAAGCCCAAAGATCTATGAACTAACCCATGTTTGACTAACCAAGCAAACAAACGACTCTGCCTCTTTTTTATCTCTCTCACATTTTGATTTGTATTTTATTTATATAGGTATTTCACATGTACTATGAAATTTATGAAAATTGACTCGCTCTTTGCTTTGTTATCTCATACAAAAGAATCCTGCCTAATTCACTAATTCAGGGGTGGTTGGGTAGGAAGAGGGCTAGGTGGCACACCTTTTTAGGGGTAATTAGTATTTTTGTTAAACAAAGTTTCAAATTTCAGATTCTGTTCGAAAGACATGGTTTTTAAACTCGGTGATTTCAAAACTGAAAAACGATTTTGTTTAATGGAAAAATTGAATAGAATAGCTCGAGAGGTAATTTCATTATGATTCTAACAAAAGATTTATTTTCATTGAATATTAAATCGGAAATGATTTCCGCTCACACTTGTTCTACTTTAACCGGTGTGCGGAAATCACTTCCATGCTAATTATGGACCTTAATTTCCTGAAGAACCGAAAACAATTCCTGCATTATAGAGAGCTTAAGAGAAATCGAGATTCTAATGAAAGTCATGAAATATACCGACACATTTCGACAACAGAGCATCACCATCTTTTTATACATGAAATTCAAATGCCGAAATCACGATTAGTTCCACACGAAATCACGATCATTAATCAAGTAAAAGTACCCGAATAATGATTAGGTCAATCATCAAACCGAAATACGCATGTTCTCCGGTGATTTACAAGTCATCAACTAAACCACTGCATCAGCGTGACAAGTTCGGTTCACATCTGCTTCGCCACCTCTGTGTTGGATAATTCTTGCTCGTCTTCCCAGCCAACTTCAGTGAACTTGCATTCAAAGATGTTCCACTCGGACCTGCAGAGCGAGCATGAGAAAGAAAATTTATTGATGCCAACGACGGTATCCCTTGAGATACTCATGGTTTACCATATTTTCCCTCTTCACTAACGCCGTTATCCTCAACAGAAACAGAAACAGAAAATAATATATTGGCGATGTTCCAATACTTCGTTTGATATACATTGTTCCGACGAGTATATTATTTTAAACTCCAATCCGACAAGAAATGTTTGCACCCTTATTCTCAAAGCTGCAATTTTAACAAAACAATGTTGCCTTCGGGTAAAGCATGTTCATAAAGAGGCAATGGTATGCATGAAATCTTAATCATAAAACTCGTCATTGAAATGATCAATCGAAGCGCTATACTACCTTCAACAGCTTATAGTTTCTATCTGTCGGAGGGGCTGGTTGCCAATAATTTCAACCTTTTGAGTTTGTAAATTCCTCTAAACATCAATCGCGGCTGGCATCTAGTTCAACTCATATTTATGACTTCCAGTCCCCTACCTCCTAGACCTCATAACAAAGCAATTAACCGTGTCCTGCAGCGCCTATACTCTCCTTCTGGTAAGCTACAAGTTTACCAGGTGAACCTGATATTACCCTTCGTGTTCTTCTCAACTCAATCTTTTGTAATGACATTTACAATTCTCCTACTAAACTGCTAACTTTTGATCAACGTTGTGTATCTAATCCTTCGCTCAGACTATCAATCTCTACAGTTCCCAATCTTAACCCATCAACACGAAAACTACTTTTTCCCACAACATTGTAACTTAGAAATGCTCTAATTCATGCTACATTATGATTCTCAGCATACCAAAAGCATTTTTTTTTGTTCAAATCATTGCATTCTCTACATCTAAAATCAGTTAAATACGCTACAGTAAAATAGCAAACATCAAAAAACAGAGGCATTGCTTAAACAAATAGTGAATCTGACTCACCAGAAACAGCATCACTGCCCTCCAAGCTTTGACTCACCAGAGGTGCCGGTTGCCAATAATTTCAACCTTTTAAATCCTACTTCAACTTCCTAAGTTTGTAAATTCCTCTAAATATCGATCACGGCTGGCATCCAGTTCAACTCAGATTTATGACTTCCAGTCACCTACCTCCTAGACCTCATAAAAATTTCTTCATTCACAGGTTACAACTATCCTAATCTGTTGAAAATATTTTGACATCATGCATCACCAACTTAAATACATACTCCTCCATCCGCTCCAAAGTCCCTTCCATCCAGCATTTTGCTTTAACATTTCCAATGTTTACTTAACCCTTTACCTTATCCAATATATCTAAAGGGCAACCCCAAGCGAACAAGGCTCCCTGCTTTGCTTTAACATTAACCGTGTCCTCCAGCGCATATACTTCCCTTCTGGTAAGCTACAAGTTTACCAGCTGAAGCTGATATTACCCCTTGTGTTCTTCTCAACTCGAATCTTTTGTAATGACATTAACAATTCTCCTACTAAACTGCTTACTTTTGATCAATGCTAAGCTTCAAATCTTTTGCTCAGACTATCAATCCCTACTGTTCCCAATCTTAACCAACTGACACAAAACTACCTTTCCCACAGCATTGTAACTTAGAAATGCTCTAATTCATGCTACATTATGATTCTTGGCATACCAAAACCTTTTGTTTCTTTCAAATCATTGCATTCTCAACATCTAAAATCAGTTAAATAAGCTATGATAAAACAGCAACCATCACAAAACAAAGGCACTGCTTAAACAAATAGTGAATTCTGACTCACCAGAAACAGCATCACTGCCCTCCAAGCTCTGAACTCCGCCGCTATTGCTGTCACCAACCTCGCCTTTCTTAACCCAAAGCCTAAACCCAGAACCCCTCTGTCTCTGTAAATGGAAGCGGCCTACCCTCTTATCATAATCCCTTATTTCACCGTTACCACGGCGATCAGCTCCACTCCACCTCCTCAGCTTAACATCCCCATTACCAGCCTTACCATCCACCGATAAACCCTCAAATTTCGGTACAATTTCCTCCGCCAGAACCACATTCTCGCTCTTTGCCCTAATTTCAGTTTCAATTTCAATTCCAACTCCCTTTTCTTCCTTTCCAGTCGCCTGATCGTTTTCCTTCTCGCCACTCACCAGAGGCTCGTCCACTCCACCTTCCTTCTCAGTCACCTCCTCCTCTTCCCTAGCTTTCTTCTTCCACTTTCTGTTACCCTTCCCCTTCTTCTTCTTCTTCTTCTTCTTCCATTTCTTCTCCTCTAGGTTCCTCGCTTTTCTTCCCCTCCAGCTCAGTAACCTCGAGCTCTGAAACGCCCTGATTAACCGGGTGAAACTGCCCCTGATCACTCCGATTCCTCGGCTTGTTATCAATTTCGGTTCTTTCAACTGTGGTGTTTTGCTTCAGCTCTTCTTCGTCGCTTCTTTTAGCCTCCAGCGAGGGTGCCCGATCACTCCGATTTCTGGGATTGTTACCAGTTCCGGTTCTTTGAACGACGGCGTTTTGCTTCGCCTCTTCCTCCTCGCTTCTCTTCCCCTCCAGCAAGGGTGCCCGACCAACCTGATTCACCGTCCGAAACTGCGCCCGATCACTCCAATTTCTCAGATTGTTACCCTTTCCGGTTTTCCGAACGACGCCGTTTTCCTTCGGCTCTCCTTCCTCGCTTCTTTTTTCCTCCAGCTCATCATCCTCACATTCCGAAACATTCCTATTAATCAGCCGAAACTCTTCCCGATTACCGCGATTCCTCGGTCTTTCAGCGGTTTCAGTTCTCTTAACCACAGCGTTTTGCTTCGGCTTTTCTTCCTCGCTTCTTTTCCCCTCCAGCAGAGTCTCATCGCGCTCCGGAACACTCTGATTAACTGGCCGAAACTGTGCCCGATCACTCCAATTTCTCGGATTGTTACCGGTTCCGATTCTTTGAACGACGGCGTTTTGCTTCGCCTCTTCCTCCTCGCTTCTCTTCCCCTCCAGCAAGGGTGCCCGACCAACCTGATTCACCGTCCGAAACTGCGCCCGATCACTCCGATTTCTCGGATTGTTACCCGTTCCTGTTCTCCGAACGACGCCGTTTTCCTCCGGCTCTCCTTCCTCGCTTCTTTTTCCCTCCAGCTCAGCATCCTCACATTCCGAAACATTCCTATTAATCGGCCGAAACTCTTCCCGATTACCGCGATTCCTCGGTCTGTCGGTGGTTTCAGCTCTCTTAACCACAGCGTTTTGCTTCGGCTTTTCTTCCTCGCTTCTTTTCCCCTCCAGCACAGTCCCATCGCGCTCCGGAACACTCCGATTAACTGGCCGAAACTGTGCCCGATCACTCCGATTTCTAGGATTGTTACTGGTTCCGGTTCTTTGAAAGACGGCGTTCTGCTTCGCCTCTTCTTCCTCGCTTCTTTTCCCCTCCAGCAAGGGTGCCAGACCAACCCGATTCACCGTCCGAAACTGTGCCCGATCTCTCGGATTGTTACCGGTTCCGGTTCGGAAGACGCCTTTTCCTCCGGCTCTCCTTCCTCGCTTTTTTTCCCTTCCAGCTCAGCATGCTCGCATTCCAGAACATTCAGATTAACCGGCGGAAAGTCTTCCCGATTACCACGATTCCTCGGCTTGTCATCGGTTTCGGCTCTCTTAACGACCGCGTAATGCTTCGGCTTTTCTTCCTCACTTCTTTTCCCCTCCCGCTCAGAAACACTCCGATTAACTGGCCAAAACTGTGCCCGATCACTCCGATTTCTCGGAATGTTACCGGTTCCGGTTCTTCCAACGACGGCGTTTTGCTTCGCCTCTGCTTCCTCACTTCTTTCCCCCGCCAGCAAGGGTGCCAGACCAACCCGATTTACCGTCCGAAACTGTGCCCGGTCACTCCCATTTCTCGAATTGTTACCCGTTGCGGTTCTCCGAACGACGACGTTTTCCTTCGGTTCTCCTACCTCGCCTCTTTTTCCCTCCAGCTCAATATCCTCGCATTCCGAAACACTCCGATAAACCGGCCGAAACTCTGCCCGATTCTCGCGATTCCTCGTCTTGTCATCGGTTTCGGCTCTCTTAACGACAGCGTTTTTCTTCGGCTTTTCTTCCTCGCTTCCTTTCGCCTCCACCTCAGCCCCACCGAACTCCGAAACACTCCGATTAACTGGCCGAAGCTGTCCCCGATTACCACCATAACTAGGCTTGGAACCGGTTTCCAGGTTCCGAACGATGGCGTTTTGCCTCTTCTGCTTCGCCTCTTCTTCTCGGAGCTTCCGCTGGCGGAGCTCTTCTTCTCGCCGTTCCCTCTCCTCTCGTCGCCGTTTCTCCTCCTCTTCCCGTCGTTTCTTCTCCTCTTGCCGTCGTTCTTCCTCCTGCTGTCGTTCCTGGTCTCTGAGCCAGCGCTCTTTAAGGTCGTTGAGGGTGACGTAGTTGGCGGGCACAGATTGGGGCCTCTTCAATTTGGTGTCCGCCATTTTCGCTCCACAGTCCACTAAAGAATGACTGAGCCAAACCCAACGACAAAGGCAAAGCCTTTTTCATTATTTATTTTCGATTTTCTTTTTCTTTATTAAAGGAAAAACAATGAGCAATTTCTAATAATTTTCTTTATTTAAAAAGTTTCGAAGTCAATCCCTCCCTTACGTTTCCGTCAAATTGTAGGTCATTTTCGTCCATTTCCGTCGGGAAACTTACATTAACGTGTGATGGGTTCAGTCATTACCGCCAATGTGACTATTAAGGACAATAATTAGGTAGAATGTCTATCCACATCAGTTGTGAATGATGAATTTTAACACACCTCTGTCATAAAAAAATTGTTTTTTTTTTTATTTTAAAATCGTTCATTTTTCAATTTATCATTTAAAGTTCATCGCGACAATCTAATTATTACCAAAATCATCAATTTGTTCAATGTATATAAATTACTAAACCATTTTTATTTTTTTAATCTTTAAAATACGATATTGCAAACTACTTAAATTATTTAATGTAAACAATAAAGATGCGTTAGTCACAACTGAAATACATAAAAAGAGGCACTCCTAAATAGGGGTGGGCAAACGAGTACAGGAACTACAGGTTAGGACGGGTAATTAAGGTTTGGGGCGGGTACAAGCTAGTTCCAATTTTTTAATAAGAGAAACGGGGCGGGGCGATGAAATTTTAGGGGTGGGCCGGTTCCAGCTGTATAGAAAACCAAGGCCCTCGACTGGCCCGTTTGTAATTTCAATGGACGGACGAGATTGAAGAGTAACCTACCATCCAATCTTAACCGTTAGTTTTACCCCAGGTCTCCTCCAGCTCTACTTTGTCACTCGAGTCCTCGAACTCGATTTTCTCTCGCAATCTCGCATGCATCATCCCTTCCCCTCCACAGTTCCACCAACACTCTGTCACTCTCCATCAGTCATCTCCCCCACCACCCCAACATCACCGCCGTCGCAAATATGGGCCCTAACGACCACCACGATGGCCCATCAACCTCGATTGTCCTCCTCGAGTCCTCGATGACATCCCATACTTAGAGATTCTCATTGACCTAGTCCCCACTTTCACGATCTCTCTCATGAACTTAGATTGAATCTCCTCAACCCTCCCTATCGAATCTCGACAGTCAACAGTCAAGTGCTTCTACCTATCCAGATGCCGAGTTTCCAGCTTCCTCTTTCAATTTTTGGCCGAGATCAGTGCGACGCTTGTGGCTAGGAGACGGGGTATCACTTCATTTCATCTTTACAGTGCTGCTTGATGGGAATTGTGGCGTCGATTTAGGAAATTGGTTTTGTGAAATCCCGTTCCTGGATTTCACTGTTATAATCTACGTATTTGTATTATTGAGATTTTATATTATTTTTGAGAAATTATATTTATTTATTTGGATTTAGATTTTAATTAAATTAGTTACGAAGTTTGAAGTTTGGAAGGTAATTATTTAAAATTTGTTGACCTTTTGAGGTCACAAGTAACGTATTTGAATAGATCTTGAAACTACGAGCACGTAGGCGAAAGTCGTTTACGAGTCCGGATTATAACAGTATAGATACAGACATTTGAAGTTGTGTTACTAACCTATAGATTTTTAAATTTATTTTAAACTCCCATCTTGTGGGATAAGGAGACCAATCAGAAGAAAAGAAAATAAGGGAAAGGAGGAAAGGGAAAGGGAGAGAATCGGCCAACCCGGTTTCTCCACCCGACCGGCCAACTTGACCTGCTCATATCTCCTTCATACGAACTCCGTTTTGGGTGATCTTGGTGTCCATGAAAAGCCCTTGATGAGCCCTACATCTTTGTAGTGTTAGATTTCCCAAATTCTTTCCCATTTTTCCAGTTCGAAGCCACAAACCCACTGGTGTTCCAGCGGCTTTATCCTTTTTTTCGGGGGCTTTGACAAGTTTCACCATCTATGACCCCCACCAAAAGACTTCCCTCAACCCCAGGAACAAAGCCCAAGTAGTGTTGGAGGCGTTGGAGTTTGATTGGAAGCCGAATCAAAGCACACATTTTTTTAGGATTTCGGCGGGTTTGAGTGAAATTGAGGTGTTTCCCGGCCAAATTAGACTTGGCCACAGGTATAAAGTTTGCTCTACTATTTGAGATCTTCATTTCTGTAATTTTTTGTAATTTTTAAAAATAGTTGAATTTTCCAGCGAGTCGGGACGATCGACCGCCACCTGCGGCGGCTCATGCGACGGCTCGTGACCAGTGGGCCTATATTGGTTAGATAGTGACTTGAATATATGAGATATGTTTTTTATCTTAATTTCTTATATTGGTATCAATTGTGATTAAGAATTGGTCTTATGAATATGATTTCTATTGAAATGTGATTTTTATATATTTAGCCATAGACCTATGATTATTAAATAGGATTTGGCTTGTGCACTGATGATATTTGTGACATATATGTGTTTAAGTATCTTTTTAATAATGTGATTGATAATTATGATGAATGTTATGACAATTATGGGATTTAAATATTGTTTGATAATTATTTGGATATGATTGCCAACTAAATACCTATTTGAAATTGGCATTATTACCTAGCATGAGATGGAGATGGAAGTCAGGAGATGAGTTAGGTACTTTATTAGATTTTTAGTAGAAAAAGTAATTAAGGGAATTCCTTGATTTGTGCTTCATATGACTAGATGTTGGTTGATATGTGGAATCAATAGCTTGTATGCGCATAATTATGTTTAATGTGTGATGATGAGATTGCACCACGTAGTCCTGCTTGGTATATCCGTGATGGGGGACCATATGTATTCAGGGGTGATCATGCTTGGTATATCCGCGATGGGTGATCACTGCCTGCACGATGAGTTTATGTCTATGGTCCTGCTTGGTATATCCGCGATGGGGGACCATACACATTCTATAGGTGATGATGATTGGTTGTACATGGTATATTTTATAGGCGATCATATTTGGTTTGGTTCAGTTGAGTGGTCCAGAACCCGAGATTGTTGAATTTCGTGGAGTGGCCTAAAATCCCATTATTTGGAGAAGTATGCTTGGCCTAATTGTGTCACTCTAACCTTAGATTTTTATATATTTGTGTCAATGGTTTCGAGAGTTTTGTGAATTGAGTTAGAAAAGATGTTGGACGTCTGAGTAACTCATTCGGGATTTCTATGATTCGATTATGATTTCATAAGGTATGAATTTAGAAGATATGGGAATGATTGTTATTACGTTGATCAAATTAATTAATTAATGCGGCTAGAGAATGGTTTTGTGTTTCGTCGACTCTTAAATATGATGTGTGTTTTGAATTGCGATATCATGATAATGATTTATATGTTGGATAGGAGAGAATTCATGTTTTCATGGGGATTGGTTATGTAGCCTGAGTCCAGGAATTACATATTGTCAGGTTATAATAAATTATTGAGGAATGCTATGCTTTTCTGCTTGAACTTAGTGGAATAAACGTCTGATTTTGTGATAAGTGAACTACGAATGGCTTGATCTCTATTGAAGGTACGTATGCAGTCTAATGAGGAGGTTAGATGCAGTCATAAGGTAAACAAAAAATTTCTTTGCAATTTGATTCTTGAATTATGATTGCCGTATTCCTGAGATAGGGTATGTGATATATACGAGTATTTGGCTGACGTCACGTGTCGATTCTGGAGTATGTCGGGATCGGGGCATGACAGGTTTTGGTTGATCGGGAAAAACGGCTACGACAGTGGGAGCAATCTGGAACGTTCTAAAGCTCTGTATCAAAACCAACAAAAAAAAAAAGTAATTGGATCCGTGGACTCGTCCCGAACCGACCCGTTTGAAACGGGCTAGGTTAAGTCCGGTTCCCAAACTCAAAATCCCTCTACCTGCCCCAACCCGTGCTCAGCCCTACTCCTAACTCCCAAGTAATGCTTTACTTATATTTTGGTTTTTCATTCTTTTTTAAAAACATAAAAAAAAAAAAAAAATGGAGAAGACTTATTAAATGAGGTGGTGTGGTGCTCATTAGGCATTGGATTTCTCGTCAGCAGCTTATTAGTGGTTTAAGGACGGATTAACTAGAGTAATCATGTTTATTGGATAAATAACTAATCATCAACATTTGACGAGTTACTCACATTTTCTACCATTCAGTATCTAATCACCCATCAATTCATGAGGTACTTATGATTTGGTTTCGCGGCATTTTAATCATAAAATTGTTTTCGCTTTCTAAAGAAGCACATACAAAATGTTTCTTCAAGAAACATTTCCACGTAATTTTCAAAAATTTGCATCTCTAATACAATTTTGGACGATTTTTAATATATAACTTTTTGAATAAGCACTTATGCTCATAAGTTCTTATTACAAAACCAAAACTAAGCTAACTTTAAATGGATTCTTCTCTCCTTGTGAGAGGCTCTCTTCCTGAGAGTTCTTCTCACCACATGTGTAAGTGGTTTCCTTTTCCTCCAATTTCGAAGTCGTCGGCCCTTGCTATTGCTGGGGTCGATTGCATATCTTTCCCTCTCTGTGTTTCCTCCTTTCATTCCTTCAACTACTTTTTTCTCCAGCTCTCCTTCCTAATTTGCCATGTCCTTCATACCTCATGGGCATCCATCTTCCTCAAGCACCTTTAATTCGATCTGCAGTCAGTCTTCAATGCAACAAATCATCGAGATGGTGTGTAGAGTTTCAATGTTTAAACTGGCTCGGGTGTTAAAATACCACCACCTTCTCTCTGTCTGCCTTTGTTGGTAGTGTTGCTCATGGTAATTTCACAGGCTTCTTTTAATTGGTGGTTGGCTTCTTTTAATTTCTGGCTGAGATGGTGCGACAATTGTGGTTGGATGATGAGGTCTTTAAAAAAATAAAAAATAAAAAAAGACTTTTTTTTTAACTTAATGGAGAAGACTTATTAGATGAGGTGGTGTGGTGCTCATTATGCATTGGATTCCTTGTCAGCAACTTATTAGTGGTTTAAGGACGGATAAACTAGAGTAATCATGTTTATTGGATAAATAACTAATCATCAACATTTGACGAGTTACTCATATTTTCTATCATTCAGTATCTAATCACCTATCTAC